TATTTGAGGCAAAACGAAGGAGGGCCGGCCATCCTCCCTCCTACCTGTTTCCGCCCCCAAAGCCCCCCCCGGAGCCCCTTTTCTACCAGAGGATGAAATTTTCGTGTAGGCTCTGTGAACTGCCAGATTGCCCACCTGGGAATCAAAGATGATCCCAAGGCTCCAGTTGCCTCCATCTCCCGCTCACCGACTGGATTCACATAGTGCCGGTTAGCGACTGGTCTTTCTGACCTCGGGGCCTGTGGTAGTGCTGGGCCAGGCACGATTCAGGCCAGGCAAGGGACAGAGGGTTCCCGCTCAGCAGACCCAGGCAGCCTCGTTGCTAGGTGTTCTTTGGAGGGAGCCCCGAGAGCAGCTGGCGAGGGAGATGGGCAGCAGCGGCGGGCGAGGCTAGTTTGTGGGGTGGCCGGGGAAGAGGGAGGTCAGAGCCAGGCTCAGGCAGGCCCCGCCCAGCCCTAGAAGTGCCGGCTGCGAGGGTTTCCTCTCGGGGAGCCGGCTGCCTACCTGCCGAGCCTGGTGGCAGGATATGGCCCTCGGGTGTCTCTGCCTTCCAAATGCGCAGTTTCTTGGAAGCAATATGGAGAGTCTAAATATAAGGAGCAGAAATCTGTTGAGCATAATCAGGGCTGGGAGGCTGCCATGTTGGTTTTACGTCCAGCAAATGGCGCTGTTTTTCAATGTTTGTCAATGTTTGTCAATGTCTTTCAATGTTTTCCAATGTTTTTCATGTTTTTACCTGTCACAGGTGTGACATGTATATAATACAGGTATATAAAAACATGCCCATAGTCGAATGCAACGTTGTGTCAAAATTTGAAAGCAATTGGTGAAGAACTTTCGGAGATGTGCAGTTATGTACAAATGGACATTTATATTTTTATTTATATAGATTATACTCCTTCCCATTATCATGTGTTTTTATATACTTCCTCACATTGGTTAATTATGTAATATTACAATTGTTTAATATAAAGTCAACATTTTAATATAAATCAATTAGTTATATAACTATATTTTTGTATATTAATCAATATGAAAATGAATATTCCAATTATTTCCATGCAATCCAATTTCTTACAAATTAATTAATTATATTTACCAATAATAATAAACCAAATAATTTCCCCTCTTATATTACTCATTTTCACATCTTAAACTCTCCCAATAACCCACATTGTTTTGCCCATATAATCCTCCAAATCACAACTTAATCATTTCTACTTTCATCACAATATATAATTAAAAATATTTCAATCATTACAATTTCCCTAATTAAATTTAAAAATGTTCTAGCTGTTATCCAAGGTACAATTTAATCCTTTTTTACTTTCACCACCATATACTATTAAAGGTATTTCAATTGTTACAGTTTATATTTATTCATATTTCTAAAAAAAATAAAAAAATAAAAACTTATCATTGTCTAGATTTCAAAAATACAAAGACAAATATTCCAATTATTATTCATTTCATTTTTACAGTCATTATTTCCCATTTATTTCTTACTACTATTCATATTTCAATTCTAAATATGTATAACATTTTTCTCTTTCATTTCTTTTTCTTTTTCTCCCTTCCCATTTTTATTTTTGCCTTTTTCATTCTCCTTTTTTTCTTTTGTGTTTAAAATCTTGAACTCTCCTCTTTTGCCCTAAATTTCCCATTGTTTGTACCTACCTTTTTTGGTGAGGAAAAAGAAGAAAAAGAAATTTCCCTGTCTCTGCCTAATTTTGCCTCGCTGCAGCAAAAAGCAAACAGCCTGTTTTACTTTCAGTTTCCTTTTCAGCATAGTTTGATTAGCACAAGGAAAAAAAAATCTGCTCCAGCAATTTAGCTCTTTGTAGCAAGCAGCAGAGCCCTGCACAAAACAGCTGAGAGCAAATCAGCTGAGAGTCGGGAGGCCAATCTAATCAACTTGTGCTAATTAGTCTATGCTGAAGCTGAAAGGAGCTGTTTTTTTCTTGCTGTTTGCTTGCAAGGAGGTAACTGCTGCAAGGGTGGGGGCCAGTGGGTGGGCAGGGCTACATTCGGTGTATAAGATGCACCTAAATTTTCACCCCCTTTTTGGGGGTAAAAAGGTGTGTCTTATACTCCAAAAAATACAGTAAGTGTGTGTTTTAGGGTATATTAGCTGAACCTTAAATACCTCTCAGAAAATTAAGGCACAATTATTTTGGGTTTCTTTTTCATGCTTTCCACTTTCACAGGACAGGATTAAGTTGGCATTATTGTTCTGACTCGTGCATGCATTAATTAAGGACATCTCTACTCTGCTCTAAAAATCTCTGTAGAGTTTTTTGTTATCAGCCCTGTGAATGTGATAAATATTACATACATATTGAAAATATGTATTTGGAAATGTGAAAACGTGGAAATACATATTGCTTCTAAATATTTAAAGAGTTATGTCTGTGTTGCACACATTCTTAAATATTTTTAAAAAATCATCAATGATTATTTTTATGAAAGAAACAAAACATATTTCATTTAAAAGGTATGAATCCACATGAAAAAATTTCTTTTAGTTTTCCTATTTTAACGAAGACCATTCATCACATCTATTAACAACAACAAAGTACAAGAATGAAGAAAATATTGACTATGTTCCATTGTGAGCTCAATTTAAGAGTTAAAATTAGGGAACTGTAGTACTCCTCCCCAGCCAAGCAGTTTGAGACATAGATTATTTGGGGTTCAAGAAGCAATGATCACATCAGTATGAGTATTTAAAGCTAAAGGGACAAAAAGAAACTCTGATGGGCTTTCAAGATTCTGCTATTGTGCCTCAGAAAGTAGAACTGAAATTATTGTGCATCTCTTTTCTTGATGTTCTAACTTGCAGGGATTGTGTGTGTGTGTGTGTGTGTGTGTGTGTGTGTGTGTGTGTGTGTGTACGTACATATATACATATACATATATACATATATACATGCTGGGATAGACCAGGTGTCCCGATAGAAAAACACTTAATCTCTCCCCTAGCTCAAACTGATGAAGGGAGGAGAACTTGTAGCTCAGAGGTTAATACAACTGCTTAACATGCAGGCTAACCCAAGTTCGAATCCAAGTAAGGGTATGGTTAGCTGATGAAAGCTAAATAGCTTGAAATAGATCTATACTAATCTCTCTTTATATATTTATATAATGTCATATACTAATTAGTATTTGACATTAGCATTTTATGGTTTGGGGAAACGAAGTCACATAGATTTTTCTATTCAGAATACTGGTTTGTTGGCTGAGAGTCCAAGTCATTTAAAGGAATGTTGGATTTCATGATATATAATTGTGCACAGATCTGAAAATAAATGTATAAGGCCAGATTTTCTGGGTTTAGAGCACGTGTGTCAAACCCACAGCGTCATGCTGTCATCACATGATGTTTCATGATGTTTCATTTGTGGAACTGGGGTTTGTATGGTCTGTGCATGATGCATCCAGCCTGCAGGCTGCCAGTTTGACACCTCTGATTTAGAGGAAAAGGAAAAGGAACAATGGCAAGTTATAAAAAATAGTGAAAACTCAGGACAAGTTGATTAATGTGTGTATTTTGGCAGAATGATAATTAGAGATAGGGGAAAGTTGAAGTACTTTTGAGTAATGCAAACATCAGCAGTAAGAGACAGAATAATACATGGTCATTCGTGTATGTTTATTTTTTTAAAAAAAATGACATTTAATAAGAATATTGTCTTTTACTAAGGGATGCATTTTCTCAAATATAATCTTTATTCATTTGGAAGTCATTAGAAGTTGTTAGAGAGTATATATTTCAAATTATAGAAGATAAAAAGTATGAGAAGAGGAGCTATAGGATTTAGTTAAGCAGTACATCTCAGTATAAGCTTTATTGTGTTCCTCAGAGAGTGACTTTCTGAAACACAACAGAAAACAGAAATGATGCAATATCTTCCATTTTTGTGGCAAGGGTATTTCTAGGAGATTGGCAGAGTTATCTTGGAAGCAAAATAAGCAAAGGTAAATAGAAATATCTATTCACTCAGTTATAAAAGAAGAGACATTTTATAAAATTGGATATCTTGCAATAGAAGTTATTTAAAGAATATACTGATACGTTTGGCTTAATATTGCTGCATAAAAATATATTACACAAATATATATAGAAATATGGTTACTGTAAATTATATCCTAAAATGATGCATTTTATTATAATAATTTCTGAGATTTGGAAGAAGATAATACACATAATTATGGATAATTTATTTATAAAATTGGTTGCATTAAAACATTTGAGGAAAGAAAATTAACGGAACAATATTTTCATTTTCAAAAATATTTTTTGTCTATTATGCATTCATGCATATTTAAAAAGCTGCATGAATTGTATATTATGCACAATACATAATTATTTTCAAATAATGACAACAAATTGGTAATATTTTTTTTTCTTGTTATATGTTCAGTTATTTTAAAAATAAAAATAAAAATAATCTGGTTCATTAATGTTGCTATACTGTGTGATGCTAGGATTGAGGAAAAACAATTGAGAAAAAAATTGAAATTGATTTTCAGGTAAAACTTTAATGTTTATAGAAAAAAAAAGTATTGGTATCATAATTCTGATTTGAGCCTTTGAAGTGACATTTAAAGGATTTCTTCAGTACTTGAAATATTGAATTTATCACTCTAATTATACAAAAATCACCTTGCTTGGAACTGCCTATATTTTTAGATACTTCTCTAATTTATATTGGATCCTTGGTTAGCATTTCAATTATTAAATTTTCATCAGACAGTGAATATATCTGTGGATTAACAACAGAAAATAACTTTGCTAATTTTATGTAATAATAATACTTCTTCAGTTAGTCAGGCCAACAATTTTAATTTTCATTTGTAGTGATGCAACTTTAAAAATATTACTTTGATTTTAAGAAAGTATTTTAAGAATTTATCAAATTATTTTAGAGCAATTTGTTGGACATAATACTAAGTGAATTTATTGACTAGTAGAAGATGCTGCTGAATGTATAATATCAAGACGGATGTATTCAAGAAGACTGTATTGACAATCATCTGACATAATAGTAAGTTGACTCAGTCAGACTAATATAATCTTTACTCTGCAATTCTATATCCATTTATAATGTGTTCAGCAAGACCATTGTCCAAGATTTGGTACCTCTGTTGATCACTAATCATACTTTGTTTTTATCCAGAACAATTGAAATAAAAAGAATGGCCAATCAATCCACTGTGACAGAATTTCTTCTGATGGGATTTTCTGATGACCATGATGTACAACTTCTGCTCTTTTTCCTGCTTCTCTTTGTTTACTTGATAGCTTTGGTTGGAAATTTATTCATTGTGTTGGTTGTAATCCTGAATAACCACCTCCACATACCTATGTATTTCTTTTTGGTCAATTTATCCTTGACTGATATTTGTTATATCACAACCACCATCCCCAAATCAATGGCAGTTTCATTGACAGATAACAAAACAATTACCTTTCCTGGATGTATAGCTCAAGTGTTCTTAGTTATTGCTTGTGTAGGTTCTGAGGTTGCCTTGCTCACCATCATGGCTTATGATCGTTATGTAGCTATCTGCCATCCTCTGCAATATAGCCTTATCTTGAACTGGGATGCATGTAGTCAAATGGCACTTGCTTCCTGGATTAGTACCCTCATTTATGCTATGTTGCTAACTATCATAACATTTCAATTGCATTTCTGTGGATTGAATATCATTGGACAGTTTTTTTGTGATGTTCCTCAGCTACAGAAGATTTCCTGCACTGATACAAAATTTAATCAAATTCTCATGTGGGTAGTTGGATTCATTGCAAGTTCATTTTGTACTGGATTTGTTTTTGCCTCTTATGGTTACATCTTCTCAATAATTTTAAAAATTCCATCCACTCAGGGTAGATATAAAGCCTTCTCAACTTGCAGTCCACATTTGACAGTGTATTCTTTATTTATCATGACATCTATGTTTTCATATTTGAGGCCACAAACTTTTTCTTCTCCCACAATTGACTTACTATCTGCTGTTTTATATGCAGTGTTGCCTCCAGTTCTGAATCCCATCATGTATAGCTTCAGAAACAAGGATATCCAAGACGCTTTGTGGAAAATAATGTCAAAATCTAATCTGGCATGTTGGGCATTCTGCAAGTCCTGTTAGCCAAGGAATATCAGGTGACTAGAGCCAGGAAACATATTTTGCTGCTGTAATCTTTGCCCTTTGGAATATCTTTCCTTCAAAATTAAAATGGACTCAATTTTTTTAGGCTTTTGTAAGGCTTTAAAAACCTGACTATGTGCCTGGTTCTGGTCTTACTGATGATTTTTTTTTTAAATTTGATTTATATGCCGCCCTTCTCCGGAGACTCAGGGTGGCTTACAATGCGCTAAGCAATAGCCTTCATCCTTTTGTATATTTATACAAAGTCAGCTTATTGCCCCCACAACTGGGTCCTCAATTTACCTACCTTAGAAAGGATGGAAGGCTGAGTCAACCTTGAGCCTGGAGAGATTCGAACCTGCAGTAATTGCAGGCAGCTGGTCTTAATAACAGGGTGCTTTAGACCACTGTACTACCAAGGCTCTACGGACAATCATTAGAGTAATTTTGTTGCTATGTGTGTATATGTTTTAAATTGTTTTATAATTGTTAATCACCCAGAGTCACTTGATTGAGATGGAACAGTATAGAAATTAAATTAAAAATAATCCATTAAAATTACAAGAAACTTCAAGATTTGATTGATCCATTTTCACTGGAAAAGATATTGTATATTATTATGTCAATGCAAACTTGGCAGAGAGAATCTGAATGATTTCCCTATTTGCATGTTCCATCCATGGTAATCTTGGTTAATGTTCAGAAGGGTTATGCACCCTTCTGATTGTTATAAGAGATTAATACAATGCAGATGGAGGAAATAATTGAAGAAAAAACTTAGTGTGTGTTTTTTTTATATGATCATTGAACAAAGTCCTCTATTCTTTCTTATTTATTATTTTTACATCAATACAATCATTTTTTATCTTTTGGAATCCTTTTGTTTCTGTATGATTAGAGTTTACCATTTTCATCAATTAATGATTTCATTTATTTGCATTTTGATGGTATTAAATATTGTTGTAAGAAATGTACCTTCAGATTACTTGGACCTTCATCAAATACAATCAGCTACTGTAAAGTATTTTTTTTTGGGGGGGGAGTCAAAACTGTTGTCAAAAATGCACTTCTTTTCAAAAAGAGTTGTGGCCAGACAAAGATATTCTTGAGATTATGTCCTCAAAAGTAATTGGATCTCTCACCAGTACTTCCAAAGGCATTACATTAGGAAGGCACTTTTAGATATTTGGATCAAGACCAAAAGAAGTAATTATATAGACATCCCCAATTGGATATCGACAGTAGAAATGCTCACACATCCTAATATTTTCAAAATGAGAGAGGCTATTAGATATAAAGAATTACTAAACCTGAATGGGGAATTAAAATCATGGAAGAAGTTAAAGGAAGAAGGAACTGAATTAGAATGGTGGATATACCTACAAATACAATCCAAATTTATGAAGGATAAAAAAGAGTGGGTTATTTCATTTTTCATTTCATTTATTAGATTTCTATACCGCCCTACTCCCGAAGGACTCAGGGCGGTGCACAGCCAAACAATAAAAACACATACAATACAAAATTTAAAAAATAGAATAAAATCAAATTAAATAATTTTGGCCCTGACAAATTTAAAACCCCAAACTTTTAAAACCAATTTAAAATTGAATATATAAATACTAAAAGATGTTTAAAATTTTAAAAATCTTTTATAAAAGAGGGGGGAAAATTAGGCCAGGCCGGCCTGGTGAAATAGTAAGGTCTTTAATTATAAAATTAGAACTGGATAAAATTTAATTAAGCACAGAGGGAAAGGCCATAAAAATTGTATCACTATTTATTAGAACAAGATATGCTTGAAGAACAAGTTAAGGAGACGATGATAACTTGTAGTAGATGTTTTGAGTACAGTATTGATTTGGATAATTGGAAAAATCTGTGAGAAAAAATATCAAAATTACACTGGTGGCTTCTTATAAAGAAAACCTGTATAAAATGTTTTACAGGTGGCACTTCCCACCCACAAGATTGGCAAGAATTAGTAAAAAAATACTCCCCAATTTGTTGGAAATGTGAGGCAGATCTAGGTTCATACTACCATATGTGGTGGGAGTGCTCAAAAGCAAAAAGTTTTTGGCAGCAAATAAGGAGCTGGTTAGGGTTAGGTTATGGTTTCTTATTGGGCATGACAGATGGCAAATATGACAAAAATGTAACCTATTTAATATTGCATATGCCTACCGCGGCAAGACTAGCATTTGCTCAAAAATGGAAGTGTAAAGAAATACCCTCAGAAGAAGAAGTAATACATGAAATTTACAGCTGTGCAGAGATGGACAGACTTACTTTAGAACTCAAAGACAAAAGTAAATCAACATATTATGAAGTCTGGAATAAATTTTATAATTGGTTAGATAAGAGGAAGAATGCCAAAAACAAGGGATAATGAATGTCTGGAAATGTATATATCAATGTATATCAATATATCAAGGTATTTTGAATTTATGAATGTAATATAGGTTTAGTAAATATATATATAGCTGTTTAGGAAGTAAAATACTGTATACTTGATATATAATGAAACAGGAGATATGTAAATTTGTATATAGATTAAGGAATATATTACTTAACTTGAATTTGACGCAAATGTTAGAAACCAGACATGTTGAGCAATGTCCATTGTTTTACTTTTAAAACTAATAAAATATTTTTTAAAAAGTAATTGGATCTCATTTCTCAAGGAAATGTTATGTACCTCAACCATTCACATACATAAAAAGCTAGCTATCCAAGCTATTTCTCTTTATGGTTGCTGCTCACAAAGTGACTACAAATAGCAGGGGTTGGGGTGGATGTGGACTGGACATGAGGGAATTCATCATAATTGTTCTAGCCACAAACAGAACCTTTTCAAGAGATACTAAGCTAACTACCTTCAGAAGTCACTAATGAACTTTTTCAAAGAAATTAGATAAGGCTGGAAATACCCAAGTAAATGTCTTCAATCCTTAAAATAATAAAATGAACATAATTTATCAGAGTTTATAATTTTTAAGAATTTAAAATAAACAGAATTTGGATTTTGAATATTAAACTTTAAAATTACCGAAGGGTAATATTATTAGTGGTAGCATCAGTGCTACTGTGAGTACTAATGATGTTACCTAGTTTAGGTAATGAAACATCTTCAAGAAAACAGCCAAGTTCAGAGAATACCAAGGACCCCTCACTTCAACCCTGAACTACAGATATTCTCCTTTAATGGTTTGAAATTACTTTTACTGAATAACAGCGTCCTGTGATCAATAACTGTATGTTCTGAGTCTTTCTTTGCACATACTATGTGTACATTAGGTCTGAATCTGGATGGAACACACACATTTTGCTGTTCTCATAACTGTTCCATGTTTGGAAGATTTTACTATCAGGACCCTATTTAAAATGAATGACTGAGCTATAAGAATTATCAAGTTTTATTTCCAAGGAAGAGGGGGCAATGGATTTAACATGATGATTGAATTTTAGCATACAAAGAGAGGGAACCTTGTTAGACATTTAGCAATTTTCCAGATCATTATGGTTTGATAGCCAATGACAACTATTCAGAGGAATACGTTTACTTAGCACAAACAATATCCTTCTGAAGTTTTGAATCCAAAAGACTTGGTAAGGACCATGCAGACTAGGTACAAAGATCTGATGAGTGAAAATTGACTGCACAACTTCATGCTATTTGAGAATGTCCATCTTGATTATGATAACAATTGTCCAATTGAGGAAGAGGTGTAGATGGCAATGCTCAAGATGGGAAAAAAGTTTTATAAAGGTGTTTGCTTTTGTTTTGTTTTGTTTTTTGCAGGGAAAGACATATTCATAATTTATATTCACATGTGAAAACAGAATATAAAGACCAATAAAACTGTACTTTCATATGTGCTCTCATTAAACTGGAGTTTTCGGCAGTGCTGATATAATTGTCATAATAGTTCCTGTGGAGGTTTGTAGCTTGGACACAACTAATTTCCCACTTGCAGGAATTCCTGCCTCATCACCATTTTTAGTTTGTTAATGATTGCTGCCTTGATGAGATCTATTTGCTCTAATTTTGTCAGCTCAAAATTACAATTCCTTTAAATCAACAACAATGGCAGTGAGCAGGTTCTCTTGATGCTGTAGTAAACTCTGCACTGAGCATAGAGTTGAATAAGATGACTTTTATTATACAAAAGGTTGTTTAGACTAGACAGCAGAAAGAATGAAAATCAGTCTAAATGTGACAATGAACCACAGGCTGATGTAAATGTGACAATGAAGCACAGGCTGGTGTCCGAATACAGCCCATTATATTATTTTATGGTTTAATGTGTTTAGTATTCTTAGTTGTGCAACTAAGAAACCAGGTATGATTCCATAATGCAACTTCTAAGACCAGTGGGAACAACTAAGCTTCATTATGGAATTGTGATGGTCCTCAAGGAATGATTCCCTAAAGTACTTCAGAAAACAACAGTGACAAAATATTTCTTGGTCTCTGCTACATATGAATGCACTAGTAAAATCATATCCAAGAAGAATGATACACTGATCTTCAAAGATAACAAAGGTAATTACAGTATTTTTATTTTATCTCCAAGAATGAGTTATTGGAGTTCTAAATGTATTCAATCTTTGGTTCTGAGTATAACATTGAGTTTAAGTAATTGTTAATAACATATAGAGTACTTTAGTGTTACTTTACAAAGTGCTCTCTTTTAAACATAAGTACAATATAATTCATTCATTTTCTTACTGGAACAGTGGCAGCCTATGTTATCATTATTATATTTATATATTTTAATAGTGGTATGATAGGAATGTAGACAACATCTATCTCAGCAGTCTTATATACAGAACTGTCTCAATGGTGGATTAAAAGCCAGATACATTATTGTTTTAGTAGTCGCAATAGTATTTAGTATTTCATACTTACCATAAAAAGTAACTCCAAAATCATATACCTACTTATCTCATAGGAAAGAAGAGGTAGTAGAAAAACTAATATGAGAAGCAAAAACAATTCATCCAATGTTCAGAGAAAGCCAGGTAAAGGAACAGATTTTCAACAGTACTGACCTAATATGTTTCAGAGGAGAGAATCTTCCAGACTGAGCAATTAGAAGATAAATAGTGTACTGTACTTATGGTAAATTCTCCTTAGCTGATTTCATTAATAAGTACAGTCTGTCAGATATCCTAATCTTAATTTATTTGGACCATAATTTAACTGTATTCATTAGTTCAGGATCCTAAAAAGTGTAAGGATGTCAAGCAGTTCCTGACTCCCAATGCTGGAATCATAATACAGTCATGTTTCTTATTTGTTTGTTTGTTTGTAAAAATTATTAGCTGCCCATCTTGTCACTCATTTACTCTAAGTGGCTCAGTACTGTAACTGTCATTCACACTGCCTTACACCATAGGTCACCAAATTCTTTAGCTCATTGACTCTTTCATTGAGTTTCAAATTGTTCATCAATCCCTCAACTTTTATTATATGAACATAATTTAATAAATACTGTTTTAAGTAATAGTATCCACTGACACATGGGAAACTATATTGACTTTTTTGGGGAACCCAGCTTAAACACTGTAACAAAGCAAATATATCAATTCTATAAATTTAAAATATGAAGAAGATGATCAGAAAGGTAGTAGAGTAAGGATTTTCTCCCTGGCCTAACATGGACTTTAGAAAGTTGCCATTTGAATATTTAAAATAACTCTTTTTTTTTATTGAAAAGTTTTACAAGGAGAATCCCCCCCCAATCCCCCCTTCCCATCCCACCCTCCCCCCAGACTTCCCAGAGCAAAATACAGGGTATTTCAATTAACAATCATAAGCTAAATTAGCCTAACTATTCCTAAACTACCAAATCCCCCCCTGAAATCTTAACTCCACTATGGATAACATAATACTTCTAAAGTTTAACGTTCATTCATAAGCTATTTGATATTTTCTTGTCTGATACTTATTTTGAATATAATCAATCCATCTTCTCCATTCCGATATGTATCTTTCTTGTGTATAGTCCTTCAAATATGCTGAGATTTTTGCCATTTCCGCTAAATTCACTACTTTCAATGTCTATTCTTCAATAGTAGGCAAAGAGTCCTTCTTCCAATATTGCGCTACCAACAGCCTAGCTGCTGATATTAAGTTCAAAATCAGTTTAGTCTCTAATGCTGTACAATCCATCGTTATACCCAATAAAAACAATTGAGGAGTAAATTTCAACCTTTTTTTCAGAATGTTCTGCATCACCCACCAAATTTTTATCCAAAATGCCTTGATTTTCTTACAAGTCCACCATATATGATAATAAGTTGCATCATCACATTCACATCTCCAACATTTAGCTTGCAGATTCGGATACATACATGATAATTTTTTAGGATCTAAATGCCATCTATAAAACATTTTATAAAAATTCTCTCTCAAAATTTGTGCTTGCGTAAACTTAACATTTCTGACCCAAATCTTTTCCCATGTTTCCATCATCACTGGTTCCTGAAAGTTTTGTGCCCATTTTATCATACAATCCTTAACCAATTCCATTTCTGAATCTATTTCCAATAAAGCGTTATACAACCTTTTAATATGCATCTGACTTTGATCTCTAATCTGTTTTACTAGGTTTTCCTCATTTTGCATAACACCAATTTTTTGATCTTCCCTCCATCTAGCTTGAAGCTGACCACACTGAAACCAAGTATAAATTATCCCTTCTTCTTTCAATACATTTAAAGATTTCAATTGCAGTTTACCCTTTTCCATAAAAAGAAGCTCTTTATAAGTAATCACCTCCGTTTTTTGTTCTATACTTATGTTTTCTATTGCATGTCTGGGATTTGCCCATATAGGTATCTTGTAGTTTAGCTTATATTGATACTTTTTCCAAACCCTCAACAACGCATTTCTAATTATATGACCCTTAAACACTTTATCCACTTTTTTTTCATATAACAAATAAGCATGCCATCCATATAACAAATCATAACCTTCTATATTTAACATTCTCTCTTCAGTTAAATTAAACCAATCACTAATTTGTGATAAAACAGCTGCTTCATAGTACAATCTTAAATTAGGCATTTTAAGACTTCCTCTCTTGCGTACATCCTGTATAATTTTCAGTTTCACTCTTGGTTTCTTCCCACCCCAAATAAAAGTATTAACACCTTTCTGCCACTCCCTCAAGTTTCCATCTTTCTTAAGCACTGATATCATTTGAAACAAAAATAAAAACCTAGGTAATACATTCATTTTTATTACTGCTATCCTTCCCAGTAAAGATAGTTGTAGCTTTTTCCAATTTTCCATTTCTTTCTGCACTTTCTGCCAAAGAACTTCATAATTGCTTTTAAATAATTTCGTATTTGAGGCTGCAATATATACTCCTAAATATTTAACCTTTTTAACTATTTCAAATCCCGTTGTTCTCCCTAAATCTTCTCTTTGAGATATGGACATATTTTTAGTTATCATCTTTGTCTTATGTTGATTTACTTTAAATCCAGACACCTTACCATATTGACCTATTATGTCCAACATATGTGGGGCCGATTCTGTAGGTTGAGATAAAGTAATAACCAAGTCATCTGCAAACGCTCTTAACCTATAATCTTGCTGTCTAATTACAATTCCTTTTATTTTGTCAGAGTCACGTATCTTATTCAACAAAACTTCTAAAGTTAAAATAAACAACAATGGAGACAAAGGACAGCCCTGCCTTGTACCTTTCTTGATTTTAAAAGCATCTGTTAAGCCTCCATTAACTATTATTTGTGCTGTTTGTTCCTGATATATTGCTCTAATTGATTGTATAAAATACTCTCCAAAATGCATTTTTTCTATTATCTTAAACAAAAATTGCCAATTCAATCGATCAAATGCCTTCTCTGCCTCCAAAAATATAAACGCTGCAGGGACCTGGTTGTTTTTTTCCAGATATTCCAATAAATTTACAATTTGTCTAACATTATATTTCATTTGCCTCCCTTTTATAAAACCTGATTAGTCATTATGAATTGTTTGTTGCATAACTGGCATTAATCTATTCGCTAATATCTTGGCAAAAACTTTGTAGTCAGTGTTCAAAAGTGATATTGACCTAAAATTTTCAGGCTTGGTACAATTTTGATCTTCCTTCGGGATCAGTGACACAAAAGCTGTTCTCCAAGAGGGTGGAACTCCTCCCTCTAATTGAATTTTACAAAATAAAGCTCTAAGTGGTTCTACCATTTCAGACTGTAAATTCTTGTAATAAACAGCTGTTAATCCATCTGTTCCTGGAGCTTTACCTGTTTTTAACTGCTTAATTGCTGCAATAATCTCCTCAGAAGTTATTGGCAAAAAATTAATTGAAACTCATAAATGTTCCTCTCCACGGAAATCTTTAGTAAAAGGCGAAAGATTTATACGATCTGAAGAGAAACCAGAGTATTATATTTAAAATAACTCTTAATGTTTTCAGCAGGTTATATTGTGATTGATAGAATCATTGTCACAGGCATAGGTACATCAGTTGTACCTATGCCTTTGAATGTTATTCTTTGAATAGCAATAAGAGCCTATGAGCTTAGATCTAAATTGATCCATATTACATATTTCAATATTTCATTTTTTCCTACTTAAAAGCAGCAAAGTTGATAAAGAGGTTTAAAAAAAAAGAAATGATGAATTGAAATAAATCAATGAATTCTGGAAAGTTAATTAGAATTTGTTAGCTGCAGGACACACACTATTTGTATTCCAATTTTACAATATTGTTAGATGAAAATTTATAAAATGGTATAGGAAATGTTATGAAAATTATATTTTTCAATAATTCATTTAATTACTTTCCACAGCATTCAAATAGATGA